GAGTCCCGGGAAACCAAAAGTAGTGAGACCACCCACCCGTCTCTTAAAAACCCTCATGTTTTAGTCTGTTGATAATTTTTTGGTAGGATTACGCTATCCTTTTAGTCCATAAAATACCTTTTTTAAAAAAAAGGTTTTAATTTTAGAGAGGGGAAGAGAGAGAATTATCAAATATGTGACTGCCTCTCATGTGGCCCCCACTAGGGACCTGGCCTGCAACCCAGGCATGTACCCTGATTGGGAATTGAACCGGCAACCCTTTGGTTTGCAGCCTGTGCTCAATCCACTGAGCTATACCAGCCAGGGCTGTAAAATGTCCTCTTAGTTATTCTTTATAACTAGAAGAATAAAAGACTCAGTAGCACAATAACACAATTCTACTTTTAAAAAAATTTACTTTATTATTATTACTGTTATTTAGATTTTATTTATTTTTAAAGAGAGGGAGGAGCCCTGGTTGGTGTAGCTCAGTGGATTGAGCATGGGCCTGTGAAGTAAAGAGAGGGAAAAGAAAGAAGAGAGGGAAACACCAATGTCTGAGAGATACATTGATTGGTTGTCTCCCCCACGCCCCCAGCTGGGGACCTGGCTTGCAACCCTGGCACATGCCCTGACTGGGAATAGAACTGGTGACCTTTTGGTTCGCAGGCCACTCAATCCACTGAGCCACAACAGCCAGGGCACACAATTCTACTTTTATTGCCAGTGACCCATTCCAAGAACAAAGCCAAAACTCTTCAAAGCTTTTTGCTTTGCAGAATTTTATAAATTTCAAAATTATGCAGACTGACTGCACCAGTATAGATCATTTGGATTTGGCATTGTCTCACAAAGTGAAAGGTTGCCAGTTGGATTTCCGGTCAGGGCACATCCCTAGGTTGTAGGTATGGGCCCCAATCCGGACAATACACTGATGTTGTTCTCCCTCTCTTCCTCCCTACCTTCCCCTCTAAAAATAAATAAATAAAATCTTTGAAAAATTATACAGACAGGCTGGTAAAAAATGGTCCTTCTGACCCATGTGTACCAATGCTGATAAAGTATTAGTCTTGGGCTATGAAGGTAAGTATATGAGGATATCCACATTCCAAGAAACAAACCAGGAAGACTATGTGCCCCAGAACATACCTCAAGAGTTTTATACTTCATTCTATGTCCTAAGACATAAAAACTTTGGCTCATCTCACACAAGGTCAAACATCACGTAAGTTGCTGGACTAAGTTCCACACTATTTTAACAGTACAAGAATACAGGAGACAACTTCTGAGTTGAGGTGGTAAGAAAGGTCAACAGCAGTACAACACCGACAAGTAACCTTAACAAGCTTTTCTTCTCTCATAGCAACACCCGATTCCAGAACCCTGAGACTGCAAGATGAGCCTCTTAGAGCATTCTAGGTTTCTGACTGGCTCTAAGGTCAGCCCACCTAGTTCTATCTATATACCTCAAATGTTTTCCTTTAGAGAGTAGAGTGAAAAGGGAAGAAAAAAGGTCAATATTGAGAAATTCACTCCTCTGATAGAAAAATGCACCCATTTTACAAGAAGGCCATAGAAGGCTTGTTTCATTACACTTTCTGATCAATCACGTATCAAATGATGTCCGTATCCACTTTCTCAAAATCAACTTCTATTTCTTTTTTTTTTAAGTTATTTATTTATCTTTAGAAGGGAAGGGAAGGAAAGAGGAGGAGAAACATCAGTGTATGGTTGCTTCTGGTGTGTCCCCTGCTGGGAACTGGCCTACAACCCAGGCATGTACCCTGACTGGGAACCGAACTGCAATCTTTTGGTTCACAGGCCCGCGCTCAATCCACTGAGCTACACCAGCCAGGTTCAACTTCTATTTCTTTTAAAGAGTCCAAAGAAAACAGTGGTCTTCTTAATTCTTTCAACCTCAAACAGGAAAAATCAACTTACTATTCTGTCAGATCCCAATTTAGATAAACAAAGGTTGAAGAAAGGGGAACTTAAACTCAGTGTCAAATCAACCCTATCAGAAAGCAACTCGAACCAATCAGTCAAGCAGAGGGGCAAGAAAAAAAGAGGACAATAACATGTGACTTGTTTTTACTGTTTCCAGAATGTCAACCCCAACAAGCCCCAGTGAAAAAAGCAATGATGTGATATCTTAAAAGTGATGATGCTGTCACATAATACGTTTGTATGTTCGTATCTTGGACCTTTATTCTAGGAATGTACAATTCAGACGGGAAGTTTGTGACTGGAAAATAATGAAAAGTTTATTTAAATGCCAGGCTTAAGTAGTTTTCGGCATAGTCCAAATAATCTCAATACCTCATCTCAAAATATAAAATCCCACCCTGGCAAGTATGGCTCAGTGAACTGAACACTGGCATGTGAACCAAAGGGTTGCCAGTTCGTTTCCCAGTCAGGGAAATTGCCTGGATTGCGGGCCAGGTCCCCAGTAAGAGGCACCACACTGGGGGAAAGAGGTAACCACACACTGAATGTTTCTCTCCTTCTCCCTCCCTTCCCCTCTAAAATAAATACAATCTTTTAAAAAAAACCATACATATATTCCCACGGCCAACTCACCTCTAACCAAACCCAGTATTTAATGATGTGCCTGTGGACAAATACACAGTCTATCACTATATGCTATAGTAGAAATCTCCTGGAGTTACCAAGTGGGAGAAAGAGAAAATTTAGACACATGACTACACAGAACAGAGGAAAAGCTTGTCACTCTCCAAAAAGGGTAGTAAGAGATGTCTTCTATGGGCTGAAGAGTAAGTCATACGACAGCTAACTCTCCTCATTGATTCTGCAGAAGGCAAACTCTCCAGCAATCTATCAACTAACAGGCTTCCCACAGCGACTATCTTTAGGCTAGAATCACCAGTGAGGAACAAGCCCACCACCCTCATTGCAAATTAGTCTCCATCCCAACACACAAATACCACTGACAGTTAAATCTTCCCCATTTCCTCTTCTCTTCCACATCTTAGAATCTACCCTTCACCTCTGAATCTCAGTTGTTCAGGTGCTCTTCAATACAGAAAATGTAATACTTAAGAATATATTAAGCAGGACTCCAAACGCCACTCCTCTCATGCCACAAAAGATTCCAAGTCCTCCTGCTGAGCGAATTTGCATCATTTGTATTGAAAGTGCTGGTGGATGACTGAGTTTGCTATTCTATGACCTCGAGTTCAAGGAAAAAAATCAAGACAGGGAGACAGAGATGCTCTGGAGGGGAGTCAGGATCAGTTGGATTAACCACAGTGACTACTTCCAGTTGACAAATGAAGTTTACCAGAGGGAAAAAAAAAAAGTTGAACGAAAGGACTCTCAGACCACATGGTTGGCAGGAACTAAGCTTGCCCAGAGGCCTCAGAAAATGAAACCAAATCTGATTAAAATGGACATTTCAAAACAAGAGACGCAGCAGCAAACGCACAGCTGCCATTTCCCGGCCACTTCCTGTGGGAGGCTAGGGGGAGGGGGTGTTTGTGTACAGATGGAGGTGGCAGCTACCCCCCTGTCGCCCCTCCAAGGATGCAAATCTCTTACTCCAATAAATCCCACAAAGGACGATTACTATTGGCATTGCCTTCCCCTGAAAACTGGGAACAGGAAAGAAAGGGATGATGCAGGATTATCTTTTCAGCCACGGAAATGGGGATCCCCTGGTGAGGGATCCCCCTTGGAAAGGAATCCTTCTTTATCCTTCCCCTCAGCACCTAAACCTAGCTAAAATCCGGAGGCTTCAGTGTCAACCCTATCAGCCCGGACCCTAGAGTGGGTGATTCTCCTGGGACTCGAGGGCCGGGAGCCAAGCAGAGCACCACTCCTGAAAGGCCCTTTCCGGCTGGCCACGATCATGAGAACGTGGGCGTGCGCGCGCACATACACACACACCCCGCCCCCGAGGGAGACACCCTGAGATTTCTGGAAACCCCTTCTACCCTCCACTCACCGCTGCCAAATCGCCCCATCCCCACAAACGAGGTGGTTAACCCGCCCAGGGAACCCCCTCACCTACTCTCTGCATTCGGGCAATCCCCACCCCCACCCAAGGAGGTGGAGCCCCTCCCGGGGATTCCACCCCGAGTGCCCCTCAGGAGTCATTTCCACCAGCCAGGCGGCTTCTCTGCCTCCTCCTCGTTGTCGTCGTCGATGCTCCTGCGGGGAGCCTCCACGGCTACTGCCGCCCCCACCGCCCTACCCGGGGTCTTGAGCAGACCCGCCAGCCCCCTTCTCTTCGGGGCGAACTCCCACGCCCCCACGTCTGGGGCTGGATCCTAAGTGGAAATAAGCTGGGGTCTGCTTCTCGTCCCAGGCGAGGCTCTAGGCGGCCTCGAAGCCTGTGTTCCCTAAAGGAAACCACGGAAGAAAGCAGGACTCCCTCCCCTCAGGCCCCCTTGCCACAGACCCAACAGACCTGAGGTGGCAGCGTCCAGCCAGACTCGGGGCTTGTCTCTCCCCAGGGGACGGGCGGTTCACATGGCCGCGCTCCGGGAGCCAGAAGGGGAGGGGATCGCGGGGGGGAGGGGGTCTGGGGTCCGGGAGGGGGGAGGGGGACGCGGCTCAACCGCGGGGCCCAAGTGGAGCCAACATGGCCGGCGGGGGAGGAGTGAGTCGAAGCCAGAGGGGGCGGTGAAGCTGCGGTCGTCAGAGAGCCGCCCTCGGCGGCCCAGCCACTGGGTCCTAGTGCCGGACATTCAGTCCTTCCCGGATCCGGAACTGGGTCCTAGCGCCGCGGTGCCTGCCTAACTTACCGGGCAGTTCCGCCTGCACGTCTCGTTGTGACTGGTAGTCCTACTTCACCCAGAACAAAAGACCAAATTTCTAGGACCAAGGCATGTGCCGCTTCCCTACGGGTGGGGGGAGGGTAGATAATTTCGGAGGTAGTTATTTCCCAGGCTGGGTAGTGGAAAAGTGGAAGTGTAGAAGCGGAAAGGTTAGTCAGCAAAGTTCGGTCTGGTAAAGGGGTGGAGAAAGGCAAGAGCTTGCTGTGTCTGCTGCCCACTCACCTCTGTCCTGTGGGGGCAGCCTGGTCGTGCCTGGATCACCACTTTCCCAGCGACATCTGCAGGGCCCTGCGGGTCAGGAAGATTCCTGTGCGTAGGAAAACGAAGCTTGGCTCTGGGACCAGACAGAAAAGACCTGAGTCTAGCCTAAATCTGGTCAGAGGAACAGGGGATGCTCTGAGCAAGAAGAAAAGTGACTAGCAAGTGTCCACCTCTTCTACAGTTCCAGTACGTTTCTGAGTGTGACACCTAATGAGAATAGGAATGAAAAGTCTATCAGAGGACTAGAGTGTGTCTTTCATCTAAAATGTTTATTGAAAGGCCCCAGGATGGGGAACAGTGTCATAGATGATGTTAGAATTTAGAGAATTTCTAGTTCAACCTCCTCTTGTTTAGCAGATAAAGAAATTAAGGCCAGAGAGGTTAACTGACTCCTTCAAGGTCCAACAGATAAAATATGACTAGAAACCAGATTTTCTTTCCTTGCAACTCAAAAGGGTTTGCAATTCAATTCAATTCAATTCAGTGCAGTTCTACAAACAAAGGCCTAAACTGTGCAAAACTGAGGCTCAGTATCCTGGAAGAGGAACAGACATTGTGCAGATGTGCATGGAGGTCAACAAATACCTTTTCCTTAGGGTTCTGATGAGGGAGATCTGAAAACTGGGTGGGACAGGGCATGACAGCCAAATATGTAAGTCTAGATTAGATTTGCTCACTCTACAGAGGAGTGGGCCCCTCCTGAATTTTAGGGACAGACTCCACTCCCCACTACAAATGGTTGAAAGAGGCTAAGAAGGAAGTGAGCTTCAGCAAAAAGAAGAGGCTAAGAGGACTAGGAAGGTTTCTCTCCCTGTCCTAAGAAAAGCAGATTACCAGGGTTAAAAAGAAGAAACCAAAACCCTCTCTCCTCCCCAAGTCACATTTATAGGTCACCTTGGAGAAGAAAATAAAGACTCTCCAACAATCTGCTGACCTCAAGTTTCCGAGTAAATAGGGAATACACTCAGGGGAGAGAGGTCCTTCCTTTGAAGAAAGCAGGGATCCAGCAAACTTCTGCTAAGGAATACCACCCTCTGTGCCCTGGCCCTCTCATCCATCCCGATAGATAGATAGATAGACAGAGAGAAGGATAGATAGATAGATAGACAGACAGACAGATAGATAGATAGATAGATACAAGTGAAGAAGAGAGTTCTGGGCATGAAACTGGCTTCTGAAAGGGCCAGGAGGGAGCAGTATCCTTTTTTTTTCCTCCTCCCTTTTCTAGGTTGGCTAAGGGAGAATCTTCCTACCTCCCATCTCCCAGTCCCCAATCCAATGGTAAGGCCTGTCGGAGACAGCAGGCAGGGGAGGAGCCTGCGCTGGTCAGACGAGTGTAGCCACGCCCCTCCCCCACACCCACACACACCCACCCGCTAGCTCGGCTCTGCTCCGGAAGAGCCGGTTACTCCTGTGCCCCACTTGACTGCCCCCACCCCTTCCGAGACCCAGGCCTAGTCTCCAGGGCAACCCCTAGCACTATCTCAGCCAGAATCGGTAGGGAAGAGGGGTGTTGGATAAGAGAGGGCCACCTGGGATTAGAATAGAAAGTGGGGCAAGATCCATTCTTTCCATCTGGTGCATAAAGACTACAATCACCTTCCTTTCTGAATGAGACCCTTCCTAATCCCATCTAATCAGAGATCTCCCTTGCTCTTGGAGAAAGGATGAGGGTGAGATGTCAATATACCCAATAACTGGGCGCTTACTGCTTGCCAGAAGCCATCCCAGGCAGCAGCTGTGCTTCTCCCCACATCCAGACGACAGAGGGCAGAGTGACCCCATATGTCCCCAAACATTCCTCAATCCCATCAGATGTGGCCAATCACTCACCCTATTTCCTTCTAGGAAGCTACTAGAGAGGGGAAAGGGGAAATGATTTTTTCTCCCCCAGCAACTTGTGAGAAGGGAACGTAGGGAACACTCCAAACCTCTCTCAAACTAGGCCAGTGGGCAGATAATGAAAAAAATGGGGAGGGAAAAATCAGCACCTGCTCCCCCTTTCCACCCTCCTTGTGTTCCTGCTGCACCAACCCTGACTCTGGGGTCAGTTGCCACAGTGCCTGGCTCCACTCTGAAGCCAGATGGCTGGGGGCCGGAGGAAGAAAGAAAGGGAGTGAGAAGGGGATTCGTTTGCATCCCTCTACCTTTCTCCCTCTCCCACTCCAAATACTCCTGGAATTTAATCCCAAACACCACTACTGACCACACTCTCCTCCCTCCAGCTTCTTCCCTGCCCATGGAACAAGACTCACAAGAATCTGCAGCAAATCCAAACCCCTTGTCCTCTCATTTCTGGAGAGGGGGTGGTGGTGAGAGCACAAGAAGAGAAGGGTCAGAGCTGGGGGAGCAACTGGACTTGGAGGGAGGGGGAATTCCCCAATGGAGATACATACAGTAATTATTAAAGATCTTCTTTGCCCTCACTTGCTGAATGGTTCATACAGTTGATAGGGACTAGTAGGGAGATGGCCCTCAACCCTGTAACCATTTTACTTCTCTCCTATAACACAACAAAAGGCCCATAACACCTCCTCTCCAAGTGGTATGTGTCACCTCAGATTCACGCACAATCCTGTTTCAAACACAGCAATGAGCTTCTCCATAATGGTCTCAGGGGAGGATGAAGAAAGCCCTAATTCCCTTAGGAGTGGGGACTCCCTTTGCATCTGAATAAAGACTGGGCTTCCCTGCCTTTCCTACCACCCCAATACCCTTAAAGATTTAGTCCCAGCCCCTCCCACACCCACTATAATCCCAATAGCCCCTCAGCCCCTTAAACCCAGAATCACAAGAATTGGGCGCCGACCTCCCCCCCCCAGTCCCCCGAGTCTACTGGCCCAAGAACAAGGCCTTTCCAACCTGGGCTGGTTGGCGGATGCTGAGGTCCGACCCCCAAACTCGGGAAGTGGTGGGGTGGGATGACAACTAGAGAAAAGCTCTAGATGTGACTTAAGTTGAACTTAAAGGACTAAGCGGAGTAGAGCAAGAAAGTGGCTGCAGTCTAGGCTAAACCCCCAACCCCCTTACTACGGAGGGGAGGAGTTGGGGTGGCGGTTATTCCCCCTCCCATTGGAGGTTAGGATGGCGTGGGAAAGCGCTGGTTCGAGAGGAGAGGAGGCGAAACCCAGACCGCGGGAGGTTTTTCTGGCGAAGAAGGCGCAGGGGAGGGGAAGATCATGGGTCTAGAATAGGAGGGATACCCGGGAGAGGTTGGCCGAGAGGCGTGAGAAGCCTCGGGATTCCGGTTGCAGAGGACAGGGGAGAAATAGGCAAGTAGATAGTGCGGGGGAGAGAGGAAGGGCAGCTCGCGTAGGGGGATGGTCAGATCCTGAGTCCCGGCCACTAGGGATCCTGGGGCAAAGGATCGCAGGGGCGGCCCGCCCGGGGACTGCGGAACCGGACGTGGGTGCCGGGCCTCACCTGGAGCAGGGCCGGACGGCGGCGGCGACGGCGCAGGTGGCCCAGCCGGGCGGCGCCTCCTCCCCCAGCCCTGGGCCGGCGGCGGTGGTGGAGGCGGCGGGGGGGGGGGCGGGGAGGAGAGCACTTAAAGGGGCAGGAGCTACTAGGGTAAGGACGAGTCCTTGGGTAGGGCTGTTGCGAAGAATACGCTGGGGGAGGGGGAAGCGGGTGGCGTCTCCTAGGGGCCAGAACCAGGAAGGATCCCAGATGGAGGAAGAGAACAGATCCCAGGAAGAGACAGAAACTTCTGCGGTGACGTGGGGGATGGCGGTGGGTCCTAACAGGAGGACTTTGGGAGGGCTCCGCCTGCGCTCCCCGGGCACCGGCAAAGATCTTTTCACAAAGCAAGGGCGGGGAAGGCAGTGAGAGTCACGACTCCCAAGTAGGAATGGGAAATGCCAGAGAGGGAAATCAAGGCCGATCCTGCTGCGGGTAACGCACAGCGGCCCTACTAGGTGAACAGGTTTCCTGTGTTTCGGCTCCTCAAGTCTTCATCCCTACAGCTGTAGAAAGGCCTGCCCATCTTCTTTCCTCGGCACTACCCAAGTTTAAAAGCCTGTGGAGTGAGGAAGCCACGAAGGCAAAGACGTCCTAGGCCTTTCAACCACAATCTTGCCTCTCAGCCAGTGTTGTCAGTGCCTGGGGCGTTGGGGGCAGCCTATAGCAGCCCTAGCAGGGCCGTGAGAATCGGCTTTATTCAGGTTCAGTTTTCCCCCAACCACCACCACCCTTGCAGCAACCTCTGGGGCAACAGGAAACAGCTGCTCAGTGCAGCCCCCACCTGGTGGTGGGTCAGGGTGGGGGAGGAGAGAAAACAGGGACTTAAAAGGCCTGGGAGAAATTAGGGGGAGTAAAGACCTACCAAAAATGGGCTTTACTTTTGGGGGGAGGTTAGCACTGTGTACTGCGAAATATTACTTGAATTTCTGTCGCTTAAATGGGAAGGAGCAAGGGACTGGGTAATGGGGGGGAGGGGTTATGAGGTGGAGAGTGTCAGGCTCTTCCTTGGAGCTGGAGCTTGCAAATGCTCATGATCCTGTGCTCGGCAGTCTCACTGGCTGAGCTCTGTACCCCTATGGTCCCTTTTCTCTTCCTTCACCCCCCAAAAGAGCAAAGGTTAGGCCCCACCCCTGCTGAGTCAGCCAGAGAGGGAGGCAGGCATCCCTCAGGCCTTCCCGGGGGGCTGGTCCTCAAACTTACCCATGTCAGGCTGGCAGGGCTCCAGGGCTGGGACCACCCAGCTCCTCACCGACCTTGGTTCCCCCTTCACGTGAAGTCTGGCGTTAGAGCCTCCCAAACTGAGCTGGGAACTAGCACGAATCAAAAAGCCAATGTATGCTTCCTGCAAACCACAGCCTGAACTGCTGTAGGGTGATGTCCCTGTGTGACAGACTGGGGTGGAGAGGGAGGAGGGAAGGGCGGGGCTTTCTCTGGGTGGAGAAGGGAGGAGGAGGCGAGGACAGGGCAGAACCAGGAGAAATATGGAGGAAGGTTAGATCTGTGTTGACACTCCAATGGCGTGGTAGAAAAAGAGAGTGGTAAAGAGGGAAGGAAATGACTAGTTGCAGCTAGTAAGAGGGAGAAGGTTCTCGATGAATGCTGAAAGATGTGAACGTCTGAGACGGGGGTGTAGGATACAAATGACCTTTAGGATCACAGTTCCCAGGTCTGCCTCTGGATAACCCAGGAAAGCGAAGCAGAAAAGGCCGAGCCATACCCTTGGGCCTTCTGAACCAGCTTCATATTCACTCTAGAGTAAGGACCTAATGCTCCCTACCTCCATAACTCAGCATTTCCCCAATTCCAGTTTTTTCTGGGGGCGAAATACTGGGCACAGGCGGCTCAGGGGCTCCACCTTCCGTCCAGAACTTGACACAGAAGAGTGGTGCCAAGGACGTCATAAGGCAAATGGGAGGAAACTTAGAGGCCGCTACCCCACCCCTGCCGCCTCTCCCAAGGTCCCTCCCCAACCTTCAGCCCCCAGGGGCCTCTGAATTGGGATGTTCGTCCCCGCCCAGTTTCTGCCCAACTTCAAAGCCTCGGGGGTGGAGCTTATAGATGCAAACTCCTCCTTAGGACCAAAGCCCCAGCTGGTTTGTAAACAGTCATTAGCCAAGAACCACGTCCCAGCAAATGGCCTTCAAGAATTTCAAAATGGTGAGGTCAATTCTTGCAGTCTCCAGTCCTACCACCAGAGGGTAGTAGTGGGTCTGGCACCAATTCCGACCTTGCATTAACTGGTACTTGTTTCAAACTGAAATGAGTGTACTTTTGACTATTCCTTCTAACCCTGCAGCTTCTAATGATATAAAACGAAGACGGAATTATTAGTTCCACTATTATAGTTCAGAAGCCCAAGGCCAGCAACCCTGAAAACTGCTATTCTTATGCAACACACCCAAGTCTCTCCCTAACTTTAGTAAAGGATCTTAGCAGAGCTCAGAATGGCTTCATGGCATTTTATACTCTTCATTTCTTCAAGCCATAACAAACACACAAGGCTTGACAGAAATATAAATCAGGAACTCTTCTGGTTGGGAAAAAAAGATGAAGGCCCACAAAGCCCTTTTGACTAAATTTTTGCACATATCAGTATTAACCCTTCAGACCATTTCCTAAAAATTAAAATTTTTGTCCATTTATTAACCCTTGCCTTGTTGTAGAACACCAGTTATTTCTAAATCCCAACCATTTTTCCCAATGTGCATTTCCAACAAGACCCACAGTTCACCAATCCAAGACAATGGCTTTTTTTTTTGGCGACCCATTTAAAATATATGGCCTACTTTGTGCTGTTTCTTGTGGCTGGCCACTCTAAAATTCCTATTGGCTATGTGGTTAGGACCAAGAAAAACAGATGTGGAGGCATATACATTTTATTGTAAACCTTAAATACTCTTCAGACAAAACACAATGTCTTCAATCACGGCTTTCATGTGGCTTACAGAGAAAACTGAATTTTTTTGGATTAGGGACAAGGAGAGGGACAGCTTGGAGGAAAAGTGCTAGGATTCCCTCACGAATGCTCCTCAGCCAGCTTATCGGCTTTTGCCACAGCTTCTTCAATGGGTCCCACCATATAGAAGGCCTGTTCAGGGAGATGGTCATATTCACCTGTAGGGGGAAAAAAACAAAAGAAAAATCAAACTGGTGAGAAGTGGAGGGACATCAACTTTCTGCAGTGTGTTACACACCTTACCACCTGAGGCCACAGAATGTGATGAATTCAAGTCACCTAAGAAATCTTTCCTTAACGAACTTCCCTCACAAATCCAATGTATAAGATATGATACAGAGTATGGATTAAGAACAACTGATCTAGAGCCACATAACCTGGGCTCAAATTCTTGCTACCTTTGGCTATGTGACATTAGAACTGTGCTGTAAGTCTCCTAATTTGTAACACAGTAATATTTTCTTCCTAAGGATCTTGTAACACTTAGAAGAGTAGCTAACACTGAACACAGTAAGTATAGGCTGACAAGAATCAAGTAATAACATGTTTCCCTCTCAGAAGTGAGGTCTTTCCAGAGAAAATTAAAGGGAAATAGCTTGTTTTTACTTCTCAACATTATATAATTAGGTATGATATATTTATATATTGTTTGATGGCTGCTAAAATGGGAACACAGCACCACAAGCATTCAAGACAATTCAGGGTTTTTCTGCCATTTATGTTCAGCTTTACACCGAACATCTCACCTGCCAAAATCTGCTGGAATCCTTTGATGGTCTCCTTCAAGGGCACCAGCTTCCCCATATGTCCTGTGAAGACCTCAGCAACCTGGAATGGCTGAGACAAGAAACGCTGTATTTTTCGTGCCCGAGACACAGTCAACTTATCTTCCTCAGAAAGTTCATCCATACCCAGGATGGCGATGATGTCCTGGAGGGATTTGTAGTCCTATGAGAAAACAAGAAAGCCCAGAATATTTACAATCTTTTAATTTGGACAAAAACCTAAGCATTAGTATCACCTTACCTCACTTTATAAGTAAAAGAAGTCAGTGGAGGAGAAGACATACTTGGGGTGGTCATGAGGACCCTCAGCTAAGATCAGTGTCTTATCCTTCCTTCTCCTAATCTGGTACTCTTAGATAGAATTGGATTCCAAAGACCAAGTACCCGGAAACCCAAGTGACCCTATTAACAACCACTAGAAACCTCTTGTCTCATCCTTCCTTGATCTAAACGAAATCATTCAGTCACCAGGAAAAATGTGGTCCTAATACAGTCCCCAAATTCCCTCTGTATCATTTTAAGGACACAAATCTCACCTGAAATAATACTCACCTGTAGGATCTTTTGCACCCCACGGGCAACATCATAATGCTCACTGCCAACAATGTTGGGATCCATGATGCGAGAGGTGGAGTCTAAAGGATCCACGGCTGGGTAGATGCCCAGTTCAGCAATAGCACGGGACAGCACAGTAGTGGCATCCAAATGGGCAAAGGTAGTGGCAGGGGCAGGGTCAGTCAAGTCATCAGCAGGCACATAGATGGCCTAAAGTGAGTCAAGAAGCCATGAGGAACAACAGAAAACCAAACAATTCTACTCAAGCCATCCCCTTTTCTGAACTGTCCCTATTCTCACTCCAGCTTCTTAGCATTCAAGAGTCTACCTCAAACGAACCTTCTTACCACCCCTAATAGCTGCTGAGTTCACAGACTATCTGATCCTTCTAAGCAGTGATGAAAGAATTTTCACGGTCCTTCCCTTTGCTCTTCATCCTACATTTTAATTCTTATTTCATACATTTTAACTCTACAGTAGTCATAGCCACTTTCTGAGTTAAAGGTTCGGTCCCCAATTGAGGTACATGCAAGAGGTAACTGATGAAGAAGCCAAGAACTTGTAAGTATGAGATATGGACGTGAACTATAGGGGAGGAATGTAAGTGGGAGAGGGTGTGCAGGGTGGGGGGGGGGGTGAAGGGGGGGAAATGGGACAACTGTAATAGCATAATCAGTAAAATATTTTTTTTAAAAAAGAGGCAACTGATCAATCTCATCCTTTCTCCCTCCCTTTCCCCCTCTCTAGAATCAATTTAAAAAATGGAAATAAAAAACTCTGCACCGCTACAATAGTTCACTAGGGATCATTCAAGTTACTACCCAATTTACACATATTTTTAGATTTTACTATATATACCATCTGCAAACATTTGAAAACGTGTAGTACATTAACCCAATATTACTTACCATTCAATTTCCACATAGTTCCACAGACTACCCTTCAGGCTGGAAACTACTTTTACATGTATACCTTCAATTACTTTATATGAATGTTTCTTAAGCTTTTAGCAGTTTTAGCATGCACACACAAATCTTACCCATTATTTCAGGGAGCACACGAACCTAGTTAAAAGCCTCTTGAGATGTAAGTAACTAGGTTTTATACTGGTTTGTACATGCCTTTATACAAATTAAACCTTCACTTATTTCATTGTTCTTACCTGTACAGAAGTGATAGATCCCTTCTTGGTGGTAGTGATCCTTTCCTGCATGGTACCCATATCAGTGGCCAGGGTAGGCTGATAGCCTACAGCAGAAGGGATTCTTCCCAACAAAGCAGACACCTGGCAGGGCAGTAGAGGTGGGGGAGATAGAGAATAAAAAGTGTTAGGTGTCTGCATCTTTAGACTCATCTGCATCATTCCATAGAAAGGTAAAATGAACCAAGCAGTCCCTCTCAAGCTTTCTCTCTTACCTCTGAGCCAGCCTGGGTGAATCGGAAAATGTTATCAATAAACAGCAGTACATCCTGACCTTCTTGGTCTCTGAAGTATTCGGCCACAGTCAGTCCAGTCAGAGCAACCCGAGCACGAGCACCAGGAGGTTCGTTCATTTGACCATACACCAACGCTACCTGCAGTAATCATACACAATCAGAAAATCTGAATACAGAGCTCAGGAATTATGTATGCAGGCTCCAATGGCTGCTTTATTCAAATGTGGGAAACTCAACTATATAATGTGAGGTGGTAGGGAACTGCATTTGCAAACTCCCCTGGCAAAAAAGAAAAAGGAAAACCTGGCAGAAGAGTATGGAAGCCACATACCCAAGATCCCCAAACAGCTAAACAATTAAAAGAACTCTTCTCAGAAGATGTTAATGTTTTTATTCACAAATTTCATTTCCCTTCTAGAGCTGCAGTTTAAAACACAAGATAATTTCTTGAATTAATGAGGTAAAAATCTGCACTTTACTGAGGTAGCAGGAAGGATATAAACTGTAAGTGAAAGGTATAAAATAGGGTTATATGAGACATATGAACCACGTCCAACTTCCCTCAAAATTAGCTTTCAAATGATAGGTCTAGCTACCACAGAAAGCTTGGAAATTTAATCTGATGTTAAAAAGGAAAAAAAATATACACTAG